AAAAAAAAAAAAAAAGAACCAAAAAATACAAGAGTTATCTGCTCAAAGACATTAGCCACACCATATTACAACAGCAAGAAAAGTTTAAAGGAAGTAATCTGAGATGATTTTAAATACGGAAATGGCTGAGAAATTAGAGTAAATCTACTAAAAGGTTATATGGCCCAAAGACACATAAATATGAAAATGATGGAGCAGCATGTACACACGTTAACAAAACAATGCTAAATTAAAAAACATTCACCTTCTGGTGGTGCCTGGGTGGCTCAGTTAAACATCCGACTTGATTTCAGCTCAGGTCACGATCTCACAGTTCGAGAGTTAAAGCCCCGTATCTGCACTGTCAGCACAGAGCCTGCTTGGGATTCTCTCTCTCCCCCTCTCTCTCTGCCCCTCCCTTGCTCTCTCTCAAAATAAGTACATAAAACTTTAAATAAATAAATAAACAAACAAACAAATGCTCACCTTTAAAGGTATGTTAAGCAAAAAAAATATACAAACCCAGAAGAACCCCTAACAGTCAAAAAGGTTTTGTCCGAAGCCCACTGCAAATCTCCAAATAGGTTAAATTTTTTTTTTTTTTTTTTTTACGTGGGGCTGGCTCTTGGCTTTCTTGGGAATTTCATCTCCATCAAGAATCAGTCATCTTCAGAGCACAACTTCAGGCCACTCAGTGTGAAGTTTTTCTCTCCTGATAACCCCACTCCCCACAGGGAAACCACACTTCTCACTTCAAGAGAAGGCCAAGGGGCGCTTGAGTGGCTCAGTCGGTTGAGCGTCCGACTCTTGATGGCGGCTCAGGCCATGACCCTAGGGTCATGCACACGGTCTGCACTGAAAGTAGAGCCCACTTGGAATTCTCTCCCACTCTCTCCTTCCGCCCCTCTCCCCCACAAATAAATAAACATTTTTTAAAAAGAGAGAGAGGGGCGCCTGGGTGGCTCGGTTGCTTAAGCGTCTGAGTTCAGCTCAGGTCATGAGCTCACGGTTCATGGGTTCGAACCCTACATCGCGTTCTCTGCTCTCAGCAAATCCTTTGTCAGATCCTTTGTCCCCGTCTCCCTCTGCCCCTACACTGCTCATACTTTCTCTCTCTCAAAAAGAAATAAAACATTAGAAGATAAAAGTAAAAATAAATGAATAAAATGAATTAAAAACTTTAAGAAGAGAGAAGGCCAAGATAACAAGCCCCCAACGAGGGGCAGCCAGAGCTCTGTGGTGGGGCACCTGGGTGGGGCTTGCCTCCCCATGGGGGTCTGATGAGGGGTTCAGCAGATGACAGTGTCCTCATGGCACAGACCTTTCGTATCTAGACTCAAACAGATAGCCTAAACCAGGCTCCTACCTAGTTCGATTGACTCACAGTCTTAGATTTCCCTCAATATTTAGGTTTCTTATAAATATCCAGATTTCTAGCTTCTCTTTGAAAAGCAGAAAACAGACCACACTGGAGCCCAGTGCCCCCAAGGTAACCATCCAATGAACTGACTGCAGCTGTCCCCAGTCCCTCACCCCTGCCTGGACCCTAGACAGTTCTGAGGTGTCAGTGCTCACACGTGCAACCTAACCACTGCTGTGTCACAGTTCTGTATCCACAGGGACAAGAAGTAAACGGGGAGACGAGAAACAGCTCAACTGATGGCAATGTGATGTGCCGTCCATTCCACACACAGCAGCCCCGCCCTCTCTCCAAAACACAAACTGGAACCCATCACCATCTCCTTAAACTGCTTGAGGTTCCCCCGCATGTAAAATAAAGCAACCCTTCACTAGTGTACAAGGGCCTCTGTCCAGCTCATCAACTTCAGCTCATGTCACTGTCCCCGTCTCCTTTGTATTTATGTCTTAAAACTATCAAGGGAGTTATTAACACCAACCCACAAGCTGACATGGGACCCTCAAGAGGCCTATAGCAGACACTCACTCACGGGTCAGTCACCAACACAAAGGCTGCAGGGGCCACCACACCTGCTCTCATGGTTCACCACGTGCTGCAGTTTTTCACTGGAATTATAATTAGATAATTACGTTCTCTGGTCCTTAAAATCGTCAAAATGGGTAAGTGGCTTAAAATAATTCCTACTGTTTAATGCAAATAAAATAAACAACAAAATTATATATGCATATAACAGCTCAGTAAGCATCAGGTGCATAAAAGGATAAGACTGAAAGGATATACAGAAAATTAAAAATAGTTTTTATTTTGGAAAATCATGTCCTTCCAAATTGCTACCACCCTATTTAAAAATGTCTTCAGGGGCGCCTGGGTGGCGCAGTCGGTTAAGCGTCCGACTTCAGCCAGGTCACGATCTCGCGGTCCGGGAGTTCGAGCCCCGCGTCAGGCTCTGGGCTGATGGCTCAGAGCCTGGAGCCTGTTTCCGATTCTGTGTCTCCCTCTCTCTCTGCCCCTCCCCTGTTCATGCTCTGTCTCTCTCTGTGTCAAAAATAAATAAACGTCAAAAAAAAAAAATTAAAAAAAAAAAAAAAAAAAAAAAAAAGAAGTTGTTCAGAAAGACAAACAGCCAGAGACAACTTCAAACGACACTCGCCACTCCCATCCCGACCTAATTGCTCACCTGCTCCTTGCTCATGTCCTCCGGAGCAAACCCGTCAACAATCGGGGTAGCTTTGGTTTTCCCTTTCTTCCCTTTCTTCTTGGGCGCCTTTGATTAAAGAAGAGATGATCGGGTAAGACAGGGAGGCCTGGCTCTGATTAATTCCCGGGCTCACCGGAAGAGGAATACCTGTCGTGGTACCTCTGTCCTACTGCTCACTGTCTCATGCCCCACCTGGAGCACATCACTCCGCCCTAAGGTTTCCCCACCCTTCACCACCCACACATTTCTCTGTTGACACCTCTGGAGAAACAAGGAAAAAAAATCTTCCTTTTTAGAAGAGAACATTTTCTCCCTCAGAAAGGAAGGGACGGGGAACTCATTCCAAATCCATTCCTTGGTACGTGGCAGAGACCTCCTTGGTGTAGATGCAAAATGTGCTTGGCCAGGACAAACCCCGATACCACACTGCCAAATGTTACTATGTTGGCTATAATGCTTGGTCACCACCATAGAGAAACCTGCAAGAAACTGTTCAATAAGTCTAAGGAGAAATGTCTCCATAGCAATGATCACAGGTGGTAATAGAAGGCTTCCTTTCTTCCAAATATAAAACTCTTTCAGAGAATCAGAGGCGCCTGGGTAGCTCAGTCAGTTAAGTGTCTCTTGATTTCAGCTCAGGTCATGATCTCAGTTTGTGGGATCAAGCCCCACGTCAGGCTCTAAATTCTCTCTCTCCCTCTCTCTCTCTCTCTGCCCCTCTTCCGCTCCCGCTGTCTCTCCCTCAAAATAAATAAACTTAAAAAAAAAATCTTTGGGGTATGTGGGTGGCTCAGTCAGTTAAGCACCCCAGTTCAGCTCAGGTCATGATCTCGCGGTTCGTGGGTTCGAGCGCCGCGTCGGGCTCTGTGCTGACAGTTCAGAGCCTGGAGCCTGCTTCGGATTCTGTGTCTCCCTCTCTCTCTGCCCCGTCCCCACTCGCGCTCTGTCTCTCTTTCTCTCTCAAAAACAAACATTTAAATAAATAAACAAACAAGTAAATAAACATTATTTATTACTAATTAATTTTAAACATTAAAATAAATACATAAATAAATCCTTGAAAGAAGCCTTGTCAGGAGCTGAAGCAGACAGCACTCGCCACGGGTGTGCTATAAACAGTTCACCACACGGACCTGCTCTTAGTGTCACTTGCTTTTAACAACTTTGACAAGATGAGAGAAACCTCCCACCTCCACTCACCTCTCAAGGGCCACTCAAGCACGTACTGAATTTCCAAATCCCTGTCTTTATGCCTAGACTTCTCCCAACTCTGTGACCCATGCTTTTGCATGTGCATGAATCTACATGTTTCTGTAACATATCTGTGTGTCTAAACGTCCCTATTAATGTTTTCATGTGTGTACATGCATGTCTACACGTCTCTGTAACATGTTTACGATTACAAAAAAGTTTTACGTGGATATCTCGGAAAACACAGAAAAGCAAAAAGTGAATAGGAAAATCACCCATATTCCCACAAGCTAGTGATACACATAAGTATTTTAGCGATCTTTTCCAGCTGATTTTAAAAGACCCATCCAGGGGCGCCTGGGTGGCGCAGTCGGTTAAGCGTCCGACTTCAGCCAGGTCACGATCTCTCGGTCCGGGAGTTCGAGCCCCGCGTCAGGCTCTGGGCTGATGGCTCGGAGCCTGGAGCCTGTTTCCGATTCTGTGTCTCCCTCTCTCTCTGCCCCTCCCCCGTTCATGCTCTGTCTCTCTCTGTCCAAAAATAAATAAATGTTGA